TGAAATCACCTCCTCATCGTGTTTGTAAAGCTGATGACGTCTTATTTGATGTACCAACGTGCCTATTCTCAGTTTGGTACAAATACACTGCTAAGTGTCGAAGGGATTGTGTATTACGTAGACAACAGCTATGCGATCTTGAGTACTTGTACATGTCCAATACACTATTATTAACCACAAAAAGTATTGTACTGGCAACTCGGAGCCGGTTAGCACTTAAATATTTTTCAGGTAGATAGTTTATAAATTTGACCTAAGTTGCCCTCGGATGACCTCTAGGCTACCACAATTTTTATTTTTGTGCCTGAAATATTTTTGTCTCTCAGCTACACCTAATAAAATGAGCTTAGTCGGAAGCACATTGAAGAAAAGCATCGTTCTTGTAAGCTACTGGTGGACCAATTTTGACCGGTGACTTAATTTGACCTGGCACATGTGGGAGAACGAAAGTGGTCGAAATGAACTCCCTGCAGTCTTTATGCTCATTTCCGTGCTCTCAATAGCCGTATTGACATGTTAACATAGGTTTTGACTGCATCCATTGGACCAACCGTTTCTGACCTTCCGTGGCCTCTGATGACTTCACGTTTGACCTAACGTCAAAAATTTGGGCTGCATTCTCCATGATTTGGCGAGGCGTTTAAAATGGCATCTTTGTTTTTCTCATACAGCATCTGGCAGTTGGAGATCCCGGGGGAAGTCAACTCCCACCCGGCCGGACGCGGTTGTCCCAGACCCGCGGCCGAGCGCGGTTGTCCCAAACCCCGGCCGGGCGCGGTCGTCCCAGACCCCCGGCCCGGCGCGGGTTAAGTGTCCAAGCGTGCTCCTACAAACACACAAAGTAAACGCGCCCGTTAATACAGTGTGTGTGCGGACCAGCAACATCGGGTGATTTTGTGCGATCTTACAGCGGTCCCGTGGCGAGTTATTCTAGTAATATGTGCTTCGACTCGGCTACCGACCCTCCGTGCGGGAAAATGCCTCCAGATGGGTTTGGGTCAAGCCGATGAACTTACCAACCATGTGATTTCAGAGAGGAAAGACATCCTGAACAACGTTCAAAAAGTCATTAGCGACATGTGTAGGGAGAAAAGGGTGAAAGCCACTGAGATCATGTCAAACATAAAACAAGTGGCTGATGGAATCCTCGAGTTGTTGGCAAAGGAGGAATTTTCATCGTTTAAGAAGATGCTCGTGAAACTAATAAGAGTTCAGATACGGAAGAAGCCGCAAAGCGAAAAAACACGCAAAAAGACAGGTACAAACAAATGGTCAATGCGTGATCTTTATCACATCACGGTGTAGCTTAGAAACTTGTTGGCATTGCCTGGTCCAAAAGTTCAGAAACAAGGCACTGTCGCTGTCGCCAAGAGAGTCCAGTTACCGCCATCGAGCAAGCTTTCTGTTAGATCAGCCTGGCCGAGGGGATGTTCTTCGGCCCAGTGCATCGACGCCAGACGCTGGGATCACAGACGCAGGAGGAAAGGTGCCTACACATTACTGTCCGGAACATGCCACGGCTTGCAACATCTGCAGCGCGCAATCCGTTCCCATCATGTTCAGAAATACCAGGCACGACTGGATCTCAGGAGTTTTCCCCTGCCATCAGTCGCTTCAGCAGAACGGACGAGTGAATTTCGTCACAGTAATGGGGAAGACCTGACCAGCCGTGCTGCCCCACAGCGGACATATATGGTATACAACTGGAAACGTCCATCCGCATAAAATGAAACGAGATGTTGCCAATGGGCTGCATTTTGACTGATGACAGGACCTATCGCTTTAAGTTTGTTGCCCAGGATTCGTTGCCCATGATAAGCGAGGCGCTTGTCGTGGTTGTTTATGAGCCGCCGGGCGGCGCATACATTGCTCCTTTTATGCCGCAGTTAGGAAAAGCCAAACACGTATGTTTGGAGCTGAACTAAGACGCTCGTGTGTATGAAGCGAATGTTCTCGTTCTCGGATACGACGCAGCAAAAGCAAAAACGGGTCACCAAAGGCCGTCCGTCGTCTGTTCAAGCTAGAACATAAACTACCGGACCAAACCGGTCCGACCAGTCCGACCAGTCCGGACCAAACCGGACCAAACCGGTCCGACCGGTTCGTGTGTCACTTGTACGACAGCGAATTAAATCCTCGAGAGATGTTTGCGCAGTTAGACGTTGTACCCACCCCGGCAAACTGTCCTCGAGTCCAATCAAGAGGCCTGTGTCCGTGTCGCTCAACTTCCGCTACTCGTCAGGCTGCAAGCTATTCCGGGACATGTTGACGAAATATCCTGTAATGTCTACGCCCGTGTAGACATTACACCTCAGGTTATTGAAGGTACGCGGATCTTAACACTGACGAGGAGCAGAAAGAGCAGGACATCAGTAGGCTTGATGACACTCCTCATCTTTAGCGGCAAGCACTACGCACCAATCAGGCTCTGCATGGAGCAACAGCCGTAGTCCCGACACAGAATGTCGGTCCGTCGCGGACGTTGGTCTGCCGCGGACGTTGGTCTGTCGCTGACGTTGGCCTGTCGCGGACTTTGGTCCGTCGCGGACGTTGGTCTGTCGCGGACGTTGGTCTGCCGCAGGCGTTGGTCTGTCGCGGACCTTGGTCTGTTGCGAACGTTGGTTTGTTCGTTGATGGCTGTGCACAGACGCTCACTGGTTCGATCATTTTACAGCGCAGCGTTGCCATTACTGCAGTTAAAGTCAGTTGAAAAATTAGCATTAGCAGGTTTTGGGTCGCTCTTCGTAGCCTATGGCCCGTTCAGAATTCAAGGAGAGGTATCACCACATGATCTACCTTCTAGATCCGCCACTGGGTCGAGCAGCTTAGCAAATTGGGCCCCGACAACAGCGTAGGGCTCTTCAGAGCAAGTTAGAAGCACCCAAGACACAATGTTCAGGGCACCGAGCGACTGAGTGCGCTCGAGCGAGTTAACGCATGGAGCACGCGACAGGAGCGTAGGGCCCTCCATTCAACTAGAAGACCCAAGACCCTACGTGGAACGACCCTGAACGATGAGTTCGAGCAAGTTAACTGATGGGAAACCGAGAACAGGGTAGGACCATCCAAGCAAATAGGAAATGCCCGAGATCGACTACGCAGTGGGCCCTCTAACGATCGAGTATGCCCGAGCAGGTTATGCTGCTTATGGGGACCCCGGCTATAGTGTGTTAAGCCTCTCGGGTGAATCAGTGGAAGCCCCTGATCGACAACAGTATCCCGGCACATTAGCAGGCAGTGCCCCAACAACGGCGTAGTACCACACGAGCAAATGCAAAGAAGTCAAGGGCAGCATGAAAAGCTTCTTAAGGATAGGATTGACCTTGCGAGTAGACACATAGGGCCCCCAGCAACAGCGTAAGGCCTCTGGACAGCCTGATGCCCCTTAAAACCTCCACAATCACCACTCTCTCAATCAGAGAACAATTATTCTTGTTTGCTCGTGGGTCCGTCACTTTCGATTGCGACTCTTCCTGGTTGCTTGGAGGCCCAGGAAGCCTTTTTCTTCCCGGCCGCCGTTTGTTGCGCTTGGGGTAACAAATGCGTCTGTTCGGCCGGCCATGGCCCTTCGGAGCCTACCGTGGGCTCCTTCGGTGTCCAAGAGAGGGGGACATGACCTCGTCTCCCTACTCTGGATCCACCACTAATAATGGATCCCGTGCAATTCAAAGTAGGCCCTCCAGTCAATGATAGGTCATCTACAGGTCAGAATAGATTCCATACGGATCACAATGGGCCCTCGTAGGATTAGAATGGATGCACTTCAGGTCAGAATGGGACCTGCACGAACGAGAACGAGTTTTCGTTAGCCCCGAGTGGCCTCTTGGCACGTCAGAATGGGCCCTCTACAGGTCAGAATGAGCCATGTACTGCCAATAATCGCTTCTTTACAGACCAGAATGGACACTCTTCAAGCCTGAATGGGCCCATTTACATGCCAGATGAACCCACCACAATCAGCAATAGGCCTTCTTCAGTCAAAATGAGCCGTCTACAGCCCAAAATAGGCCTCTACGGAATAGGCCTCTGTGGACTTGGACGTCCACAGTCAATAATTGGCTTTCTATAGTCCAGAATAACCCCTCTGCAATTTCACAATTGACCTCATTTGGCCAGAACGGGCCCTAAATAGGCCCGTTCTGAGCCAATAAAATGTGGAGAGCCAACTCTGGTATGGGCCCTAACAAATCAGAATTGGCTCTCCACGGGCCTCCAAGTGAGATGGAACGGGGGGGGGGGGGGGAGGCACGACCCCCCAGCTTTCATTCAAGGTGGAGAAACGAGTGTGCTCCCACTATCTCCCCCCTCGCCCCCCGGCTCCCGCGTCCTTGCCAAAGTAATATTCGTGTGTGAAGTGCGTCAGCACAAAATTTCCCGCGCCGATGGCAAACGGCAGACAGCCAGTTCAAGCTGCTGATAGCCGGCGTCGATCAAACACCGCATTTTGTGGCAGATGACAGTTCTTTGAGCAGTTCTACTCGCTATAACGGACATGCGTCTGATAGCGAATGACTAGAATGGCACCGGAGCCGATGATTAAAATGTGCGCAAAAACATGCCAGTAAGGAGAAATATGGAGCACCAGGAAAATGCGAACGAAAAAATACCACCACGGAAAAAAATTCAAGAGCACCGGGAGAAAAACCCGAAACACACTCGCGTGCAGCGAACGACATGTACACAACTAAGCAGCTAACGACATCTTGCGACGAATTTTCCAACTTCAAGAAGAAGACAAGTAGATTTAGGATTAACTCTGTTTTAGACTATTTTGGGCTAAATTTACTTATCATTTTTGGGGCAGCTTCCCAAATCATTTTTGAACATCACAGTTCTATAAAGAAACACATCTGTTTGTCAAGAAACCGGAAAAGGTTTCCTTGTGTCGGGGACACCGAGTGCATCGAGCCTGTTGCTTGCTTTCTTGGCGCAGGTGTTCCAAAATATTGTGCAATAGACAAAACCGGGGATGCGGTGCAGTTTGCATTGAGAGCGGGAAGGTGGTGGCCGGGGTCGCGACAGATCTGGATTTTATCTGTTCGGTTAGCAAGATACGCCCTCTTTTGTTGGTCTTCTGTTAAAAAAAATACCATGTTTAGAGGTTTGACAGCTGCAGATAAAAATGGGCTTGGGATTTCCAACATGCGGCATGACCCCGCTCTCCTTGCATTGCCTTGTCGTTCCTTGCCGACAACCACACTTGTACTTCTGGTTCCTCACGCACTGTGATGCTTGATTTTTGATGGGTGCTTAGCATTTATTTAATCCGGTTCATTTGTTATTTGAGCACACTTGGCTTGCAGGTTGCAGACAAATGGGACAAGGATGAGGGTATCTTACTTAAAGAGGCATTAACCCAGTATCTAGATGGCAGGGCTTGACGGCATCTTGCTGTGGAAGTGGTGCCAGACCAGTCTGAAGAAAATCAACCCACTATTTTAGCAGCCTATGTGACATAGGTGTGAATAACTGGGAGCATGCTTGCTATGAACTTGGGCCTGGCCAAATCAATCTGAGTTCTCAGATTGCTTTTGTTTGTAAAAATGTTTTCAGGGTAGTTTTGGTTGATGTTTCCTGAGTAGCATCATAATTCCATGAAACAGTCTATTGTGCAAACCACGCATCAAACATGGCTCTCAGGTTAACAGAATACATGTGCTAAAATTAGCACAGGGATCTTGCTGCTGCCCTGTAAATACCCAGTTTGATATGTAGGTTTTGCTACTGGTTGCAAGTTGCTGCACCCACTCTCTGGGATAGGAACTGGGGAAAACAGGTGTACTGTCTGAGCCACCAATGGTTTTGACGTTTGCTTGGAGGTTCCTTGGCTCAAATTCCATTTTTGCCATGGCCACTGCTTAGCCCTGACACTGGTGCTTTGCAGGAGTTATACCACAATTGGCCTTATGTTCTTATTTTGTAAGCAATGCAATGGGCTGCTCTAAGCCAGTCTTTCATGTCTCCACCATTGTTTTCAGACTGGCATTAAGTTCAGCTGATGTGAAGGTCAATACTAACCATGTTTAAGGGCATAGCTTAGTTGGTTTCCCCTGTCTCATTTCCTTATAAGACTGCCATTGCTGCCTTTAGGCCACCATACTTTCTTGAATTGTCCTAGATAGCTAACAATCTGAATTATATGTGTTGCCAGCCCCCAGCCTTATATGACATTCTTGTGCTAGCAATTAACAAATTGTTGACTAGGCCTTCATTATGCATTTTAAGCCTGCTAGTGAAGGATTGGGACCAAACTTAAAAGGGTGGTCATAGTGTGTGTCTTTGTTTTACCAATTTTGCTGCACTGGATGCTTTTGCCCAGGCCAGTCTGTCTATGCATAAGTACAAAGCACATTTGTTTAGAGGTTCTCAATATTGTTATGCAAGTTGAGTGCAAATATATATCCCTTAACATAGCAATTTCCAGAAGACATGCTTAAACCTGCTTTCTTATAATACCTTGTGAATATATGTGGCTAACAGTAAATCTCAAACTGTGGTTTGATACCAAATTGTACTGAAATGGTAGGCATGCAGCCTCGTGTTTTCCTTGGTAATGGTGACATCAGCATGCTGCAGGTCAGATTAGATCACCCCCATTCTGCTGACCAGTCTTTTGTGGTGCAACTGTAAACTGAAAACCTGTGAAGTTCACAAACCTGTAAAACATCAGAGCAATAAAGCATTTTGCTCAGTATGGCTATGTGGACAAAACCTTCAATGTGAAAACAAAGTTAAGAAAATTATGTCTTGGAGAGAGCATAGAACAGCATGCTGTGACACTCAGCAGCAGATTGCAATGACATTTATTTTCCTACTGGCAGAAGGTTATGTTTTGGTTTTGCTTTGCTGGTATTGGAGTGATGTTATTATGTTGGTGTCCTAACCAAAACAATAGTACATCTGGCCATAACAGTGTTGAAGGTGAGAATACTTTGAGAGGTATTTTTTAATACTTTTAGTTTACAGGACTCCAATAAGTACCCCTTCTTCATTGTGAACTATTACAAGTTGAAACAAATAATTAAAAGTTACATGTATTATGCCACAAACTCTAATGTTTTGGATCATAACGGATCTGTGATGAACCTGTTTCTTTGCTGCTTAGATCCATTTTCACTCGCAAAATGTGCTCTTCACAATTATCTTCAGCATCACCAAGTTATGTTGTGCTGTAAAGTATTAGTAATAGCTGGTTTTCAAGACAGTGACATATTTATTGTATCTAGTTCCCATGTCAGCTGGTTCTCAAGGCAGTGGCATATTGATTATGTCTAGTTCCCATGTCAGCCTCGAAGGATAAAACAAAACATTGATTTATAGATAAATTGTTTTCAACCAGAGGCAGAAGGGCACCACAGTTTGCTGATGGGCCTTGGAATTTTGTATTTTTTTCACCAGATTTCCATAGCTTACCTTGCACTATACACATCAGGTTCCCACAATCTGCAACCGTTCATGTTACCAGGAATGGCCCACGACAGAATAACTACGGCAGCCAAACAGCTATTGTAGATTCGCTGAATATGTAAGTTTTAGGGCTTGGCAGTGCCTGCGACGATTTTACGCCCATTTAAGTGGGTCATGACAAAAATTCCAGTTGAAAAGATCGAATGAAAAAGTGGAACGAAAAATTGAATTACATAAATTTGACCGGAATAAAAATCAAATCGGAAAAATGTCGAAGGACAAGGAGTGTAAAGGAACAAAAGTCGAACGACAGAAGTCGACAGGAATCCGAGTTAGATTGGAAAAAGTGGGAGGACAAAAAATAGAAGGCGATAAAAGCCGAACTATAAAAGCGAAAGTCGCATGGAAGATGTCCAAAGGCTTTAAGTCGACAACGGTAAAAGTCGACAGGAATAAGTCGAAACAGGAAAGCCAAACGACGAAAAGCCTTGAGGGACAAAAACCGGTAGGAAGTCCACGGGGCACTGCTGAATGTTTATGACACACTCGTTGCCGTAAACACCGCTTGGAACGCCGAGTACTGACGGCATACTCATTTGTTTTGCTTCATAACCTCGTTTACCCGTGCCCGCTGGTATAGTGAAGGCTGAAAACTCGCGTGGAACCTCTTAACACCAGCGAGCTGGAGCCCCTCGGCCCCGAATTCTAAGAAAGGAGTGGGTGGAATGCGTGGAGTAACCCATTTATTGGCCTTTTGATGGGAGGATGCCTTGTTCGCCCCCGCTCCGCCGACCGCCTCCCCAACTCACCGTGAAATTACGCCCCTGATTGAATGACCAGAGACTTCCTTCTCGCTGATATCAAGCGCCACAGTTTTATGTCTGGGACCCTGATTGAATGACCAGAGACTTCCTTCTCGCTGATATCAACCGCCACAGTTTTATGTCTGGGACTTGCCCACACCACGTGTGCGTTTTAGGGTTTCATACTGCACCCTTAGGCTCACTGCTGGCACAATCACACAGCACACACCGTGTGCTGTCTTCCGCCGGCCCTGCATACCCCGCTTCCTTTCCTTTCCTGAACTTTAACACGCGCTTGGGTACGGGTCACACTGACCCCCAAAGGTTTTTTCTGGAATGGTTTGCGAACGTCAGGGCGTAGCCACGCCAAATTTTTCGTAGCTGTAGATAATTGAATAGCGGATAGTTTGGCATCGAAAATGTGGATATACCTTCTAAGGTCATTGATCTGTGGCAGGTCAAAGTCGGGCCACGGTATCAGCAAAGTCATTTTTCTAGGGAATCGTTCAATCTGGCGCAACAACGGAGTGTTTGACGAAGCCACACATCGCTGAGATACTTTCTTAGGCAACACAACAATTGAGTAAACAAATTACATTGACCTAGGGTCATATATGAAGGTCAGACCAACGTCAAAGGCAACCTGCTTTATTATTTAGGGCTTGCCGTATGAAGTAATTTCTGGGACTCATTTCGAATTCATTCATCACAGGGACCGCATTATACGTATTCCATGGACTTCTTAAATGTCAACATTTAACACCACAAGTGTGGTGTTGCCCGTTGCTGGACACCCAATGCGGCAACCCCACATCTTGAAGTGTCTCTGGATAGGGCGATAGAGCTGTGGATCTAAGTTGTTTGTTGCTGACTTTGGTACCACATTTGGTCAAAGTACCGCATCAGTGAAACCCGCCATTATCTGGTGACATATAACCGGTTCCTGACTTCTAGCATCTCGAGGGAAACACGGCTTACAGTACCTTAACTAACGTCAAAGTTTCCCAACAAGCATCGCAAATATGACATGACCGCAGATCGTTGCAGAGCACCGTGTCTAGATTTCCCAGTCTCGACGCATGCAGCCTGTCGTGGGATTTCTCGGCTCAGCTCCCCCCCCCCCCCCCCCCCCACGTGGGCGGTCGTGCGGTGGTGCAGCCCTGCGGACCCGGTCGCCCTGGCCGGGGGTCCGCAGACGGCGGCGGCGGCGGCGGCGCGCTCCGTCAGCCGCGCCGCCGCCGACGCTGAGCGCCTCGCCCGGCAGTGATGGCGTCGGTAGGCGTGCGGACGGCTCGCGGCCGCTGGCCGGCGGCCGCCGGCGTGCGGCGTCTCTCGGATGGCGCCGGGCCGCACCGTTCGCAGCCGCGGGAGGAGCGCGCCCGTGTCCACCACATGACCAGCTACTACAATCAGTCGGCGATCGACGCGGCCGCTGCCAAGGTGGGTGCCGGCCCGCTGATGGGACCGGGAGGTCGCTCCGAGAGCGGCTGCCTGTGGGTCGGCTGATGCCGGCGGCCGTCTGCTCGCGCCCGTCATCCGGGCGGTGTCACGTGGAGCGTCAGGCGGCTGTCTGTGGACCTCCACTGTAACTGTCGCGTTATCTCTGCCGGCTGTTTTCTGTGTAGGGGCACGAGACACGAGGGGAGGGGAGGAGGTTGGGGCCGAGTCCCCAAGTTCGTGAAACTTTGACAATGGCCGTAGGATCGTTGATCGGAAATAAATGACAAAAACGACTATCGTCCCTCCCCCGCTCTCAACGTGGACAGCGGAAGAACTTCCGCTTTCTCTTGCTATCTGTGCAATGTTTGCACGATCGGCTAGGTAATCGTATTGCGTCACACTTGCCTGCCTCATTGCCCAACGTTTACCGACCTTGTGACCATCAGGTTACAGTCTTTCGAAATGAGAACTGGTTTCGTTGTTAAACATCTGTACATTAAGCCTGCAGTTTATCGTAGGAGTCGGCAAGATGCACAACCAGGCATAGACACAAGTTGACCGAAAGCATTTCATTTGCATGACCCTTTTATGCAAAATCGCGCGAGCGAGTTCACTTTACAACACAAACGTGACATGTCTCCAAGTTTTGCTTCATGCTTCCGTGGATCAAATCACATCCACGTAGAGTTTGAAGCGTATATGTGCACTCGATATGCCAGCTCATTCCATATGTGTGCACTCCGGTGGGCGGAATCATGTTCACACACGCCCGTTGGTCCTTTTGCTCATTAAAACGATCTACTGCAGTCGCACTGCCCACAATAACGATGCAGGGCTTCCCCATCCGCAAAGTTTCACCGTCGACAACGACCTGTCTGATTGAGCCGGGTCTCACGGTGCCGGTTACTCTGAATGTAGCTTAGCAGGATGGCGCGGCTCTGGTGCAGAAATCCCAGGGCTCGGCGCGTTTGCCATGCTATTTGGACGTCGCGACCATAAGTCAGTGCTGGCGATGCCGGCCTCCGGCGTGATGCTAACGACAGCCCCTCCCCCTCCCATCCGCAGCCTTCGGTGCGCCTGACCCCGGCCACCATCATGTACACGGGCAAGAGCACTGACGAGGCGCACCTGATGGTGAGTACCGTGGCGGCCACCGGCCCGGCGCTGTATCGGCTGGCTGCGGACGGCGACTGGCCCTCTTTTGAAGGCCGCGTGCCATGGCTGGTCGTCGTAGCGCCTCTGACATGCTGTGGTGCAGCGTTACGCTAGGACGGATGTTATGTCGGGTCGGTTGTCACTTTCGTTGGTCGGATGCTCGGTGCGAGTGAGTGACTACCCCACAGCACCGTCAGCGTCCCCCGCCCCCGTGCGATAGTGTGCAGCTGCGGCGGCTCTCCCACGCGCATCCGGTGCGGCCGCGCCGCTCGGGCCGGCCCGGGCCGGCGGCGCGCCGTCCGGCTGGCCGGCCACGCCGAGCACGTGCTGGGCGCGTGTCAGCGATCGATGACGGCGCCGGCGCCAGCGCGCTGACGCCGCTGTCGTCGAGCGGCGCCCGGGCCCGGCTGACGGCGGAGCGGGGCGACGGCTCGCTCGAGTGGCAGACGTCCCGGCCGGCAGGCTGGGCGGCGGGGGGGGGGGGGGGGGGGCAGCACTGAGGGATTTGATGTGTCATTCGTGGCAAATATGCATGCGCATGACATCAACATGCTATTTGACTTAAAAACTATAATAAAGGTACCAATATGTGTTGCCGCGGCAGCCGTTTTCAAAGCCACAGTTGCTAAAAGTCACCATATTTCATTTACTTCAAGGCCTAGAGGTCTGGCTCATTGCAAGAAAACCTCTAAGAACAGCCAAAACACAATTTTTTGTCAAAGATATCAAATTCTCGAAGTGCAGAACAACATCCTCATGGCTCGTTAGAAGGCACTTCAACAACACATGACTAACACATTGCTACCCCTGCAAACGCGCACTTCATTAACAACCTTCTCCACTGCATACACAGAAGTGCCTGAACGGTGATTGGCTACGCCTGCTGAGTGTGACTGCAATGCTATCAAATCACAGAAACCGTAACGCTGCACACCTTATGGCAAGAGAACGCGATCCGGTGAAACAGCAAGCCAAAGCGATGCAGGCAAACAATTTGTTTTGACGCGCGTTTACTATTGGCCTCTATCGTGAAAGATGAGTGCGCCATACATGACTTCACGCCCAATGTTTTGTCTCTGAGCAGGTGGTTAAACCTGACTGCTGACTAGCAAGTATGACCTAATTTATAAGCCGCGTAAACGTCTTTGTTGGACAGCACTGAGACACAAACACCAGAGTCCATATTTTTGCATTTAACGAGTTTACGCGCCTTCGCGTGCTGCTGCAATGAGGGCGTGCTTTAACTTCAACCAAGTTGAAGAATGCTTTCACGAAACCATATCTAAGCATGGCCTCCGGGCTATTCATCCTCTCGTTGCGCCGTTCGCCCACAATTAGCCCGCGTCCGGCCGGAGGGGAGTTGACTCACCCCTACGGTTTTTTCGAGCACAGGTCAAAAAACGAACGCTTGGAGCGGCATGAAATTGTTCTGACCTGTTCATCTATTAATTTTGTGTCATTTGTGCAAATTTTTAAGTTTTGATTTTCCAGTATCATTGACATAGGTCAGATCAAGTAGGTCAACTTCTAAAAAACTTTGACCACACATACCTCTTTCTGGGTCGTTTTCCTTTGTTCAAACTTGGTATAGTAATATAAATTGATAGTACCTACAGTTTTCATATTTAAGATTTTTGGGAAAACGCGAGGTCATTGACCTGAAATCATGTCAACTGTTGCCATTTTTCGTAAATAGTGCAAGCTTGTGCGTTTTCTTGTGTAGTTTTGTTATGAGGAAAAGAGTAGCAACTTACATGCACAGCCATCACATGACCACAGAGAACATGATCTCGGCCCATGTCATGACCTATCTCTGTGGTTACCTTCTGCGAAACGCATTCCTAGCTCAAAATAGGCAGTTTTTAGGTCATTTGGCCGCAGAGTTTGAATACTCCACTTAAAACGTGTTGATATAGAATCATAATGCATTTTAAGGTCACAATAGGCCATGCAAGGTCGCATAAGGTCACAAAAGTTCAGTGGCCTATATTGTCAGTAGCGCAGAGACGGGGTGAACGGGTGCGACGCCTGTAACCACCTCCCTACCATTCTTGTGAAGCTGATGACGTCTAATTTCAGGTACCAACGTTCCTGTTCTCAGCTTGTTGCAAATACATTGCCAAGCGTCGAAGGGGCTGTATATAATACAGACAACGGTTATGCGATCTTGAACAACTGTAAATGTCCAATACATTATTTCTGTCTACAAAATAGTATTGCACTGGCCACGTAGACCCGGTTAGTCTCTAATTGTTTTCAGGTAGATGGTACGTAAATTCGACCTAAGTTGACCTCATATGATATCCAGGTCACCGTTAGATGACGTTGTTGTGTCTGGAATGCTCTTGTCCCACAGCTGCACCTAATAAAATGAACTTAGCAGCACGTCGTGAAGGGAAGTATCCTTTCTGCAGGCTACTGGTGGACCAGTTTTGAACGATGACCTAAACTAACCTGACCTACGTTGGGAACAAAAATAGCCGAAATTAACTCCCCACGGTTTTTGTGCTTAGTTCCGTGCTCTCAATAACCGCCCTGACGTGTTAACATAGGTTTTAACTACATCCACCGGAAGAACCGTTTTTGACCATTCGTACTCTCTGGTGACCTCACGTTTGCCTTGAGGCGAACATTTCGGGTGCATTCTTTGTGATTTTGCGAGCACTGCGAAACGGTATTCTTGTTTTTCTCATAAGACGTCTGGAACTTGGAGATCCCATGGGGGGGGGGGGGAGTCAACTTCCCCCCGGCCAGGCGCGGTCGTTTCAGACCCCTGGCCGGGCATGGGTTAAGTCATAAGTTCTGTGACCAAAACATCTGACTTCACATGAAAGCCTAGATACGTTATAACATTGGGCCAGATTATATTTATGATGCGTTTGCCGTGTAGATTTTAACGTGTCCGTGTCTGAATTTACCTCTTTACCAACTCAAAACGTACCCTGCAGCAACAAAATACTGTCATTCTACATGCCAAGGTGTTCATATGTGGTCGTTTCACGTGAACGATGCTGGAGAAGAACTGCGTCGATGCCTTAAAGTGATGTTTCCAAGGTCGTAAACAGCTGACAACGTCGACCAGCCTTGGTCGTGCTCTTGGCTGTGCCGAGACCGATCTGTGTGCGCCGCAATCGTGCTTCGCTTGGTTCAGATCCATTAAATTTTAATATTCATGGCTATACCCTTCATGCCAATAACTATGGTTCATCTCCACATCAAGGGGGCTCTGCACTTTATGTTGATAGTTATCTTCCGCATCGTGATGCCCACGTTGCAACTGAACTTAGCGTAACTGCCATTAACGTTAAACGTGCACAGCTGGGCCCAACACTTTTCTCTTTACCTCCATCCTCAAACAAGAGGTACGCTTGACCAACCTTCTACTTTTCAACCAAATATCAGCTCCCTGTATGAGGCTAAGTGACTTTAATGCGCATTCAACAAGCCTGGGGATGCACCAGCACGCGACCTCGCGGACACCTCGTCGACCCATTTTTCACTGGCGCATCGTCTCGTCCTTCTCAATGACAAAAGACCAATAAATGCACACCACCACGCAGGCAACTTCACATATTCCGCCATTGGTCTTTCACTCAACGTCAGCCCCCATCGCGCCGTTCTTCACTTGGCAAGTCCAGCCAGACTGTTTAGCGACCACTACCCTATTCACATCGCGCTTGAAATGCGCTCGGGTCGATCTCATCATCATTTCAACCCCCGCTGGAACGTCAACAGAGCAGACCGGCTAGCTTTCAAAACTTAATAGACCTCGCTTACTTACCCTTCTGGCTCCCTCGCTCCCCTCCCTTTACTGACTACCTTCAGACCACACTTGCCTCAGCTCACCAACACGTCCCTCATACCCGTTGTTCACCAGGGCGCAATCATGCTCCCTGGTGGAACACAGAGTGCCAGCCGACCATGGCAAGAAGACGCAGGGCGGAGCGCGGCCTCAGTCGCTGTATCTGCCCGGTCAGTGTAAATGCCTTCCGTCTGGCGCGTTTGCAGACACAGATCATCTCAAACACACCAGAAAAATATCATGGGAACAGTTTTCAAATACTTTTAATCGATCTACGCCGCGCTAAAAAAAATATGATCGCTGTAAAATGTTTTAATGACCGACGTTCCTCACTTCGCGCATTACCACAGTCTGAATACAAAATGTGCAATGCGCCACACCTTTAGAGGTCGCCACACAGTTTGCCAAACATCACGCGCAAGTTTTATCCCGGAAACAATACGCAATACACATCACTGCATTTCTGAACGACACCCTCTCGACTTGTAACGTTGGCACAGACGACATCAAACAAATAATGCGCCTTTTACGCGTTATGAGTCAAATCTTGCCATCAGCAAAGGTGGAAATGCTTCTGTTGACCCTGATCAACTTGCATATCTCTTCTTCAAAAGCGTATCTGAAACTTGGCTTGCAAATCTCCTTTCAGCTTGGAACGATGTTTGGCTAAAGAACACTTTTCCCCTACTTGGCGCTCTGGCATTATCATGCCCATTCTGAATCCCTACCAGCCTCCGTCTAATCCCTTTGGTTTTCCACTTATCGCTCTGGCTCGTCGTGCATCCGAATGATTTGAACGCATAAGAAATGGCCCGATCAGGCTATATCCGAATTCAATCACGTTCTGTCGCCACACCAGACGGCCTCCGGCCAAGACGGTGCCCTATGGATAGCCTTTTGCATCTTACAGACAGCATTCAGCGCGGTTTTGAAAAGAAAGATGTCACCAGTGCACTCTTCTCAGACCTAAAAGCAGCCTTTGACAAGATACACAACTTGGCTGTCTTAATAAAGCTGCATGAGATTGGTGTCCGACGTCGCCTTGCCAATTTTATTAAATATTTTTTTACAAACCACCCATTTTCGATGCGTGCGGTAATGTTTGTTCTGAGCTGACTGCCCAGGACCACGAGCCGCGCCAAGGCAGTGTGATATCACCTACCTTGTTTCGTTTAATGGTCAATGATGTACTCAAAGATAGTCACGAGGTATCTTTGGGCATTGGATATTTCATGGTACGCCGACAATCTGGCGGCATGGTACACGTACCCTAGCGCCGATCGTGCAAATCTCATCTTACAACGTGCACTCG